GAGAGAGAGAGAGATGTTGGATTACAGCGGCTAAGGCCACATCGTCCTCGAGCGACTGTCCCCGTGGTTGCGCAGACGAAGAAGAGGAAAAAGAAAGATGAGGGATCATCACCGATGGAGCGAGCGAGGAAAGAGTACCACTAGGGGAAGTTTCGACAAGAAGGGAAAGCACGTTGGGAGCTTGATGTTCTCCCCATGGAGGCAATGTATGGGGATCTTCACGCATCAAATCATTGATCAGTGATCATCTTGGACAACGCGAAATATATACCAGAGTTGTTATTGCCATCTGATCTCTCAAGTCGAAATACAGCCCTCTTTCACTAGAGAATCTTCCTGGGCAGTGGGTACAGGCTCAGAACGAGATAGGTGGTATGGAAGGAGCATGGCCAGAACCAAAGTCAGAACTTGGGAAGGACAAGATTCGCAGTAGAAAAGCTCGACTATCAAAAAGCAGGAGAAGTTGCACCCCCGAGTCACCCAGCCACGGCCATCCAAACATCCCCAACATCGATAGCGAACGAACGACGTATACCAAACCACAAATCAAAAGGAAGTCGGACAGGAACACTGGTCTCTCTCCTCTGCAGCGCCGTTACCCGTGATCCCTTAAATCCGCCTAGACTATACTGCGCAGTCAACGCATATTCTATTATATTATAGATATAGAACATACGTAGATCTACATTCTCTGAATACTTCCTCGTCTCCAGATCCAACCAATGAAAAGCATATAGATAAGCTGACCAGTGACCTCAGCTCCGGCGGGAGTAAGGCTTGTTCTGTTGTGCTTTTCAAGGACTCCCCTCTTTTAAGACGACGTGAGTTCTTTAGAGGGAAAGAAAAAAGGTTGAAGGAGGCAAATATAGAATCACGTTGGCGCACGCGGTGACAAGGGAGAAAACTCACCAGCTAAGGTATCACGTGATAGACAACGGCTGCACCGCAGAAGCCACCAGATCATCGTAACCAAACAACGATCGACTCGTCTAGCTAGCTAGCGAGCATGACTACGGTATTCCATCCCGCGCGCCCCTCAGTCGGCCTGCGGAATGGGATTGGTAGATGTCGGTCGCTAAAAATAAGTCCTCTTCCATGCTGCAGCTGCTGCTGCTGCTGCTACTGCACCTCCCATCTCATCTCGTAACAGCAACTGAATTGCCTCTCGTGCTTGGACAGCTACTAACTGACGCTACGGCAGCTAGGTACGTAGTACGTAGTATGTACCATCTGTGCATGTATGTACTACTACTATCTATGCATGTATCTCGAAGCATCGGATCTATGCATCTGCCGGTGAGCAGTTTATGACAGGTAGGGGTTTGCTTTTGCTTTTGCTTGTTTGCATTGCCTGTTACGCATTGTTTAAGCGACACGCACGATTACTGCCCGCAGTCCCCTTTTTCTTCTTTTTCTCCTTCCTTTTCTTTTCCTTCTTCGTCTATCCACCGGTCTCGCATTAATCAACCGATCAATCATCTCAAGACGTACAGCTCCATACATCACTCTACCAAGAAGCTCAAGTCAATTAACTCTCAAGCAAAATTGATTGCCTACTACCTACTACGACGTCGTACCTAATAGCCTTTGCGTAGGCTCTGTATAGGCTCTGGACAGGCTCTGGATAGGCTCTGTCTCAAAGCAGCACGTCCCCATCTCTGTCTCGGCATCACCGAGCAAAGCCAAACACCGCACGGCTAGTCGAAAGAAGCAACATTCCAGAACATTTGTTGTGTTTCTAGCGCACTAGCTTATTATGCTAGCTCCCTTCCCCACTTGCAAGTGAGACCTGGGGCGGACGGAGTCCCTTGCGTTGCTCTTGCCCTGTCCTGGCATCGCCTTGCCCTGCCTACTCTGAAACTCCAATCCCCGCCTGGGCCACCCCTATCCCATTTCCCACGCCGGCCGACGAGTTGGCCCAGCATTCTCGCCTACGTTGACCGCTTAAGCGAAATCAGGTGCCAAAAAACAACATGGCCGGCCGCCGCATAGTTAGATGAAGATGATCCAGATGCACCTCTCGGCGCCGTCCACCTTTGTGCACCTACTACTTACTACTACCTACTACCCAGTACGACGACTACGGAGACGACGTACTATACGTACGTACGTGCTGACTACCTAAACCGACAGACTTTGTTCGGAGTACGCGAAACCGGGCGACCAAATGAATAATTGATTACCCATCCCCACCCACACGCTCTCGCGAAAAATCTAAACGACCACAGCAAACAAACCTACGACGTACAGCGGTTCCTCGATCGGACGAGCCGATTATGACTACTCACGGCAGAGAAGGTAAAAGCAGAGACCACACCATGTCTGGTTTGCATCATCATCACCACCACAACCATCACCGATGCTCCTCCTCGACCACCCCTCTTCTCCTTCCTCCTCCTCCTCCTCCTCCTCCTCCTCCTCCTCCTCATCCTCCGCTTCTCCTACGGGACGACTACTCCCTTTCCAGCCATGTCGCCCGGGCGTACCATCCCGATTCATACATAACCTTTATCTGTTGGAGGCGAGGCTCCGCCGGCAGTTAGCCGGTCGGTCGGTCTCGGTTGGTCGGTCGGCCCGGCGGGGAGGCCGCCCAAACTATTGACTATATCTACTCCTACTATGGCGGTGATGGATTTGTTCGTTCGACAGCCAGCGGTCAATCTTTTTCTTTCTTTTTCCTCCTCCCTGCCTTCTATTTCTTTTTTTGTTCTCTTCTTGTGATTTTGTCCTGTCGGTGTGACTAATGACGGGAAGAAAGGGAAGAAGGAGGAGGGGAAAGGAGGAGGGGAAGAAAAGAAGAAGAAGAAGAAGGAGAGAGAAACTTGCTCCTAGGGAAAAAGGAAAGCGAAATGAAAACGAAACGCACGGCGTGCGCCGCAAGGTCTTCGCACGTAGGGTGCGATGCGTGCTGGATCTTTGCACGCAGATTAATAGTACTTGGGGTGTAGATAAGGGGAGGGGGAGGTGGGCGCCGGCTTGGGGTCTTCGCTTTTTACCTTTTCCTTACTGTAAAGAATAGCTTCTTGGTAAGGAAGGGTACGAGTGAGGGGGGAATACGGCATTGTATTAGTGGCATCGTCGTACTTATTATTATTATGGCGTGATATGATAGTAATGTTAAATGTCAAGGCGATGTGATGTCCCCAGCTTACGTCGTCGTCGTCTGTGCAAATACGGTTGGGGGGGGGAGGGGAAGGGGGAAGGGGAAGGGAAAGAGGGGGAGAGGGGAGGGGCCGAAGGACTCAAGAATCACGAGTGAGGGCCGAAGGGGAGCGTTGAGCGAGAATTACCGAGGGACAAGAAAGGGCGAAGAAAGGGCGAAGAAAGGGCGAAGAGATGCGGAGAGATGCGAAGAGATGCGCAGCGATGCGCAGCGGAAATGAATGATGCTGGGATAAGGGAGGTTTCTGTGAGTTTTGTACTTACTGCATGTTTGGTACCGTTCAGGAGTATGTACCGGTATGTGTTTGTTTATCTATCTCCGATGGGGGTGGCCTTTGATGGGACGGAGATAAGTCGGGCAGGACGGAGATAAGTGCTCTAGGGAGGGAGATAAGCTTTTTCCAGGTGGGGTTGAGGGATGTCCGCGATGCTGTATGCATCCGTAGGGAGGAGACATACTACATACTAGTACGTAGTACATGCTCGCTATACTCCGCTCCGTGATTTAGGAGGGGAGAGCGAGAAGACGACAATGATGATCTGTCTTTCTGTAGGTTTAGGGGGAGGGGGAGAAGGGGGGGGGGGGGGAGATGAGGGGGAGGTATGTGTTTATGTGTTTATGGGTATATAGTAGTATGTACGTAGTGCTACTAGATGTGTATATAATCATGCGTACATGTTGTACCTATATATACATATAAGCTTATCCAATCACAATGAAAAAAGTCCTCTGGTAACTTAATAAGCTCGTGCTCGATGGACCGACCGACTGATAGACAGACAGACAGACAGACACACCATCAATCACATCGACACAGACACGCAGAATAGACACGCCCGATAAGTAGGTAGGTAGTAGATACCTAGATAGATCACGTATCACGGAATGTATGATGATGCCATCGACCAGCGCCCGGCGCTGGTCAGATGCGTGCTCACTAGCGCGGTTTGGCGTGGGCCAGGCCAATCACTGAATTCCTTTGTAATTCCTTTGTCAGAGAAATCGTGCTTCGGGGCTAGTCCCGCGTGGGCCGTGGACGGGGGTCCCCAGCTCGGCCCCGCCCCCAAGGACCCCAAGGGCGGCCAAGACTTCGAAATCGAATGTTCGATGGCGGCTGGGCGCGAGGCTTGGCGCAGCTCGGGCAGTCTCAGACCGACCGATCCGAGGATTGCTAGCCGGGGGGGTAGTGGACGTACTGGGCTGTAGTGGGCTGTAGTGGGCTGTAGTGGGCTGTAGTAGGCGTAGTAGGCGTAACTACTAGGATCCCCATCCCGGTAGTAGCAGAGTGAGTGGGTACTAATGCTTGACCCTGACTAAAGATCCCGACCCTGACTTTTTGGTCTTTTTATTTTTTTTCTTCTTTTTTTTTTTTTTATTTGGGATTTTGCCCTCTCTCTCCTTCCACCTGGGCTGGGCTCTGGCTGGCACTACCCATCTGTCCACCCATCCCCCCCCCCTTCCACCCCTTCCACCCCTTCCCCCCCGTTCCCCCGTTCCCCCGTTCCCCCGTCCCCCCTTCCCCCCTTCCACGAATCCATCAATCACGTCAATCAATAGCGGAATATGCGCCACTTGCTTCATTCGGTCACTCACCCGGCCGTTGCTTGCTGGCTGTTACTGTGGTGGTTCAGGTTCAGGTTCAGGTTCTGGTTCTGGTTCTGGTTCTGATTCTGGTTCTGGTTCGACTCTTCACGTTCCTGCTCCTATTCCTGTTTCTATTTCTGCCCTTCTCATCCGACTCTGGAACCCCACCGTCCGTCAACCAACCCCCCCCCC